TTTCCCTGCCAGTGTCAGACCGAGGTATGCAGTGTAACTACTAGTATTAGGGCCTACCTCTGTATTTGATGTGTTAGATTGAATTACGTTAGCTTCTGGTTTGACTTGTTCTATACTAGGTTATTTCAGTGATACTTCATACTTCAAAATTCTGCTGCATTTAGCTTAGGCTGCTAATGTGTTTACTTTTTTATCCCTCTTGTAAATCAAAACATACTGAAAGCTGGGCCAGTGTGATATTTAATCACAGCTGTAATCAGAAAATAACAACTAGATATTCTCAATTAAATAGCAACTATATACAAAAGCACCATTTATTTTAAGTGACACTAAAAATTATGAAATGACCAAAAACTGATGTCTTTTGTCAGTGAGATGAATTAGCGGTTTATATGGCCCGAGAAATAGTCTGGACAAGAAAAATAGGGTTCAATTCAATAAGGACAAGAGCAAAGGTCTGCACTGAGGTAGGATTAATCTTGTGCACAAAGACAAGCTGGGGAGCAGAAGGCAGGGGAACCTCGGAGGAGAGCCCGGGTCCCCAGCCGAGTTGGGACCACAGGGATCGTGCTGGGGCAGCACCTGCAAGAGCTGCCACAGGATCCTGGTGCTCCCGTCCGGGAGTTTTTTTGTCTGGGCTTTCTGACTCACTGTGCAGCTGACACTGCTCTGCTGCGCTGGGAAAGGATGGGTGCTCCACGCCGGCATTCCAGGGTTACCCCATTGCCTGCTTTTCCTGTTTCTAGGTGATTATGGCAAGTGCTGCTAGTATTTCACCTGTCATTTCATGAATGTTTTTTGTGTTACTCATAATAGTGCAATTATCATCTCCTTTTAGGTTTACTTCAAAATAGGTGGGAAAAAACCCGAAGTGGCGTAGTGATCCTCAGCTTGGGAAAGAGACAGGAGCGTACAGCAACGGACTGTTAAACCAGAGCAGCACATGGAGTTGTGCAGGTGTCCTATATGTGCCTCTTCTCATACGAGACCTCATACAAGGGAGTTTCAAATAAAGCTTACATGGACACATGCAAACAGGCCCAAGGCGACTGTGTGCCTGTGTTCATGTTAATATAGAGATTCCCACCATAGGACGTTAAAGACGTGACAATCTTATACATGTTTAAGAGAAGGCTGCTGAAGCTTCTGGAGGAGAGATGTACTGTAAGTTATTAAATATAAATGGAAACAACATCTGTCCCTAGAATTCCGAGCTTCCGGCCGGAGCCTGGCAGGTGCTGGTGCCGCATTGCCGGGTGGTGCAGTAGTTACGCGTCATCCTTCTATTCTTACCCTCTTCCGAAGTAGCTGCTGGTAACCACTGTTAGAGGCAGGACACTGCACTGGACTATGTTCAATCCCAACAAGTACAGATGTTCTGTGATTTTTTTAATTATTATTTTTTAATAATGTTCAAACTATTTCTTTCCCTGCTCTCCATCTAGCCTTTTAGTTTCTTATGTGCAGTATAATAAGTGACTGTTAACCTAGTAGATGCCAAAAGTGGCAGACACGTCTGCCCATGTTTTCCCATCAGATTGTTCTGAACTGCCACATACTGAATAGCAAATACCATCTAGCTTTCTCTGAAGGTACACTGCCTTTAAGTTACTAGTCAAAATAATAATGCAACCTACTAAAATATATGTATTCGGTTTATTCACTTGTTATGCAATCTTTTTGTCCAGTAAGTCTGCTGTATTAAAATTGATATTCAGACCAGAGGTGCTTAGACTTTAGCATGTGGTATTTCTAACCAGAGTGAAGCAACATTTCAGAGTTGAAGCAGATTATGTAGAAATAAGTGTTAGTAAGGATATTCACACAGGACAGCTTTTCCTTTAAAAGTTTTTTCAAACCGGAGCTGATGTTTTGTATAGCCTGTGGCCTCTTTTTGAAAATAGTTTGCTTTTATTTTGTGGAAATAATTGGAAACAGTGCACATAAACATTTCATTGAATAGTCTGATTTTGTGACGTCCTTTTGCGAAGTTCTGTATCTATTGCATGACCAGTTGTGTGACTGTCTTTTTCTGGTTGAGTTCTGTAGTGTAAGAGAATGGCTATCAACTTCAACAAACAGCTATCAACACTTTATTGAGATGAACCAGGAAAAAAAAATCCCTAGAATTCTTAAGATTGAATCTGTGCTGGGAAGATTTATGTCATTTTTCATATGCAAAGTTCAAGGTCATTTGCCTCCATAAAAGTGCTTTTGCTTGGCTTTTGTTTTTATAAGGGCAATTGGTACTATCCATGTAGTAATTTAAATTATGGTTTACTGAGTAGAAAGTATCATTGGTGTTACAATGTAAGAAATTATTGTTTTGTATTTTTATTGGACTTGGTGGATTTGGGGCTCATTTATACTGCAGACATTTAGATCACTTAGGCTACCCAAATTAGCTTTCCAATGGAAGCCAAAGTAATTTTAAAAACAAGAAGGACAGAGTAGCCTTAAATGAATAAAGATCACCTGGTTTATGTTTAGATAAGTTCTTAAATTCTGTCAGTGTACTGGTTTTAAACTATTCACAAGAATATTTCCGCTATTGACATTTGAGCATAAAACCCTATTCCATAAGGGATACTTTAATTTAGTAAAGTAGGTGTCAGCACTAAGATTATTAAATCCTGGTCCTTTCTCCATCATTATATAATGCCTTTTTTTACTTTCACTCTTTATTTGGGCCAGAGTGTTCCTCTCTTATTTTTAACTTTTCAATTCCCTTTGTTCTCCTGTCTTTCATGATATTTTTAAGGAGCCTTCTTCTCCAAATTGAGCATGTAACATGTGATGTCTAAAAAGGAAAATAGATTTGAAGGCCCCTGCCTAGGTCTCTCTCTTCTCCCCATGCACACTCATTATATAACTTTGTAAAGTAGGGTATTGTGAAGTGTATTTGCCAGGCTTGTGTCTAGGGAGACTTGTGTACTTCTGAGTAGCTGATGAGGCTAAGCTACACGTGCCTTCACTTCCCAAAGGGAAGTTGCATCCCATCTTGCTTCCTGGTTTTCTGAAGCATCCACTTTCCCCCATCCTTTAGTCTCTTCCCCTGAATGTCGTTCTCCAGCATACTGCTTGTCTAGGGTTCAGGAATGCTCTTTCCATCTGTGCTTTGTGCTCCCTTAAACTGTTCTGGATGACTCCTTTCTACCCAACTATTCACACCAGTGTTTCATCATCTTCTTCCATCATTTGTCAGCCAACCTCATCTCTGCTCATTTTTATTTTTTTCCTCACTCTCTTACCTTATTTGGGCATGTATGAGTCTATCCTCTCTGGAGTCTCTCTTATCTCTTTCGTCTTCACTTGAACTTGCTATTGGTAGATCCTCCTGCTTTGCCCAGGGACGTTGCTGGTTTCTGTCTAGGTCTTTCTTGCTCACTTCACACCTTCCTTCTGACATACCTCATCTGTATGAGAAGGATCTACCTCTTAGCTGTTGTCTATTCAGTATCAGATCTCAACCTGTCTGATGTTTTCTCTGGTATTTGTCAGCATCTCAAAGTAAGAAACTAAAACCGAGCTCTTCATCTTCTCTTCCACACGCTCCCTCCAATGATTGTCTGAGTCATAGCTGTGTGTTCCTTACATCTGGGCATCATGTTTGACTTAGTGCTGTCTATCCAGGTGTTACATCTGTGTCCAAACAAAACCCACCAGTACGTCTCTTTTGCATGTTTGCTCTGGGTCTTACTCCAAACCACTATCCTGCTAAGCTTTTAGATACGCTGTTTTGTGAAAGCTCATTCGTGTCATGGCACACACCTCAGCTGAGAGGCAGCTGCCGTGACACTGATGTGGCTTAGTTACCTCTTAGCCGCATCTGGTGCCTTCCCTGGGAACACTTCTGAGCCTGCTTTCTTGAAAAACAAGCTGGTCAGTTCAAACCATACGGCTCCTGCTGATGTGCTCTGGGCAGGGACTTGAACAGCTTCATCTTGAGCAAATCCAGGAGCAAAGACAGTGCCAACTTCTGCTAAGTCGCGCGTCTGTCATCTCCTGACTGAAACTGCTGCGTGGCTCTGTGAATGCGTCTCCTGGGCCTGGTGCTGTGCAAGACTGAACAGATTCTGCCCCTGAAAACGCCTTACCACAATAAAACTGAAGTTATGTAGTCTCTTATCAGTTGGCCCAAGAAAGCTTAATAACAGTTTGAAAAAATGGTTACTGAGTGTTGGAGCAACGTAACCGCTGTGGCAAACTACTGCGTAAACCCCCACCTCAATGCTGATCCCCGAGTCAGGAGCTTCAGGTCCATTCAGATCAAAAGGGCCATCCTGAATTTTTGTTACTGCTGTTTTTTTTTAAAGCAGACAACTGTGGTTATTTTTTTATTTCTTTGCAGAGATGTGGCTGCATTTTTTTTTCTGCCTTTTATCACAGTATTCTCTGTTGGAAATTTTCCTATTGCTCTACTTGAGAGATGTCCTGACTTTCACATTCATACCGCAGTAAAGCCTCAATCTATCACCCAGCACAGCAGAGCTGGGTATTTAATGGGGAGAACTGTTTTAGAAAAAATGTTCTAAAACATTTGGCACCAAAAAAAACCTTTTCTTTGAAACTGCAGCACACAGCTTGTATTTTCCGATTTTTCTTTGGGAAGTGGGACTCCTGGTCTTCAACTGTTATACTTGAAAATTATTTGAAAGTTTTAGAAATTACAGAAAAACATAGATCTTCAGAGACATTTTATTTTTTAAACCATGATGGTGTATATGAACAAGAACATTTCTTATTTATTGTGTGTTATTCTTCCATGTCAACTTGCCACATGCAAATTACCACGTCAACTCTTCCATAGCAACGTCTATAGTTTTTTCAGCTATGGTATGATTTCATATGAGTACTTTGAGTTTCTGTTTTATTTCAGTTTATTATTTGTGCCTAAAAATTGTTGTCAACATTGAAAGATCTGCAGAAAAGCAAGGAGTGTTCATTTCTGAATATATTACAGTTCTCTCTCACGCTATTTTTTTCTTTTATTGCTATAGTTCGGGTGCCGAAGCAGGACACAAGCTCAAACTCAGCAAACTTCCAAGATGCGGAGGATACGCCTGACAGATGTGTCTTGGAGGAGTCTGAGAGTCCAGGTGAGAGCCATTTAAAGACAATCACCAAGTATCCAGTGGTAAATCTGACACGGCTTTTGGGCCAGTAAGAAAAGCACATTGTAATGCTGTTTCCTTTTTAGCAGCTGCAATGTCAAATTAATGGTCACCTCCAGGGGTCACAGTGTGGAGCTGTTATCTTTTCCTCTTTCATCAAGAATTCAGGTCTTAGAAAGGATAAAGGCTTTATGACCAAAAAGAAAGCTGACACTACTAGTTCATTATAATTAGTTTTGGACCACACTGCTTAGTTAATATATGTACAGTGTCTGACCCTTTGAAGGTAGCGTGAGATTATGAAAAATTGGAAGGGCTGTATATACTGCAGTTGAGTGTAGCAGTGGACATTCAAACAGAGCATCTCTGGAGAAAAGCAAATTGGTAGTGTTAAATAGCTTGATTCTTTTCTTTAAATCAGCTCACAATCTTTATTTCATTTTAATGGCTTTTAACATTGATTCAGCTAAATACAGGAACATCCATAAAGTGCATTCTTTTTGGTGACTGTAAAATTTATCTTTATGTAGTTTCATTATCTTTCTAGCTATGGAATATCTAAGAAATTTATTAAATGAATCCCAGAGGGCAGCAATTAAATATAAAGTGTATCCAGTCATAGCTGATTAAAAACATCCTGTGTGACTAAATACTCGGTTTTTTTAAGTGAGCTATGGGCATGACCCATATACACCATATATATAGCCTGTACATAGTAGTCATTAGTGAAAGAGTTAAACATCTTTTTTCATTTGATATTTTCCTTCCATGCTTTATCTGGTTTCTGTGTACCCTCTTGCATCTTTGTGTGCTGATCCGTGTATCATATTTTTGATTCATCGTCTCTGTGGCCTGTCAGCTTAGTTAAGAGATTTCCAAATCTTGCAGCCTGTGCTGACAGGGGGCAGCTGCCAACAGTCCCCTGATCCTTCCCCAAGGAACACTGCTGAGATTTAATTTTCAGTCAAAGGGTGCAGTCTGAAATCCATGTCAGGTCCCCTAAGTCATCTCAGAACCCAGATAGGACCCATGTCTGGGGGATTATATTTCAGTGCACTCCACTTCTCCAAGATTCCTTGGGAGTTCAACTGCTGTCATATACCTGATTGGAAGTACATTCCCTTTTCATCTTTTCTGCAGAAATGAACAATAGTATATTAGAGAATAATTGAAACCAATGAATTGTAAGTCTGTATTCCCTTTAATACCCTACTGTATTAAAGCCGTTTTGGCTCGGCCTTACTACTGCACTGCAAAAGGCGGCCTGAAATTTAAAAAGAAATAAGTAATCCCCCTACTTGGGAACGAAACAAGTTTAATTCCTTACTTCAGCTACATCAAACTATTTGCGGTACATAGTGTCTTTGTCAGTAGCCCCTTTTAGAATGACTGCAGAAAAAATGTAGCTAGTCTCAGTACTGGTCTATTTTGAAGTGAGAAACCACTTTAAACAAAGTGGTGCTAAAGACTTCAGATGAGAATTAATGTTACTTAAAGATAACTTTAGTTTTAACCTTAATTCAAATTATTTTGTGTGTTGAAGTGTCTGTGTGGCAAAGCGTATGCGTTTGGATAGGAATTTGAGATGTCCAGTTCTGCATTGTGCATACATGTGAGAAGTAACAGAAAGCATAAAAAACTGTCACGAGATGAATAATGACTAGCAAAAATACATGTTGATAAAGCATCTAAACTTAAAAACTGAGTCCCATTCAGTCCATCTGACATCATTAAACTAGTAATAAACAATGAATTACTCTGGCTTTTGTTTCTGTCCATTCCTGCATTTTAAGACATCTTGTCTTATAGGTCTGAAAACCTCAGGAGATTTCACTACTGGTCTCACTGCTTTCCACTGAGAATTTGTGGCTTGGTTGTCATGGAGACATCGTATTTCTCCAAGAATTGCTCATATTGATCCGTGGACAGGCGTAAATGGCCAGGCGAATGTGAGGAGTAAAGGGGGTTGGGCAGTACTAGAAAATGACCAGAGGTTATGGGTCGGAAATAAGCTCATAGCAAACACTTAGGTAAAGAGAAAGAAACAGTTTCATTTTGTTTCGGGATTTCGTTTTTGCACTTTATGCCATTGTCTTCTTTCACTATAGACTGAAAGAAACTTGTTAGTCACTTGTCATGTCAGATCTTTGGTGCTTGTCCTGACACAGCTGTCAGCCTTCCAGCCCTGTGCAGTTCAGGGACACACAACAAAGAGCTGGGAACATGAATTATTTATTGCTCCTTGTGTGGATGAAACTCTGTGATAAGAAATTAAGACACTTCTGACAGAGCCCTTGTTTGAAAGGAGAGATTTGGTAATAGAATGCATTTACTTGAAACTTAACACTTTTAGTAGCAAATATTTAAACAAGAATAAAGCATTTATGACAGATTTATTCTAGTATTTCTCAGGTGCTTTGGCTTCATGTTTTGGAATTTGAGAGCATCTAGGAAGTCGGCATGTGATTTGGTGAAACCTGCAACCTAAGAACCTCTGTCACACATATTCAAAGTCTGAGCAAACTTGCAAACTTCATTTATAAGTTTTCATTAAAAAGTTGCCTGTGTGTATATTTTGCAGAGTGTCTTGCACTTCATGTTCAGTATATTGTCATATATGCATTTTCCAGAGAAGTGATGTAAAGAAATATATTGACTTTACTGTCTCTTTTAATGAGGAAAAGGTGAAGGAATGATAGTGCATCTGCAAGGAATTCCAACTAGTCCTAGAAAGGGTGGATTATTGCAAATCCTAACAGAATCAGTAAGGTTTCAGATGTATAGCGCAGCTTTTAACAGACATAACTATGCATTGTCTTTTATAACAGTGATGTCGGTGGTCTCTAACCTTGAAGGTTAGATTGAGAGATACTTTCAAAGAGATTTTAATTTTCTAAAATTATCTAAAGTCATCTTCATTTTCATACTGCCCTAGTTCTCACTGCTCTGGATGTAGGCCTCAGATAATAATAGAAAAAGGCATAAGCTCACATGAATAGCAAGAATCCATTTGACTACACAAGACACCAGTCTGAGATATGCCTGTGATTTGTTGTGTTCAAAGTAAGAGCTGAACTACTCAGGTAATGAAACCCCTAAACCTGCACTTTTCTCTTGGATAATTCACAGCAAACACTTTCCACATGTGATGGACAAAGGTAAATATCAGACTGCAGTTTCTTGTCTTAAGTGAAATGGATTTTAGTTGCTCCCTTCATGTTCCTACAAGCTGCCATTATCTGTGATAGTGGCTCGTGTCTATTTTAGCCCACACACAGAGGAGATGCTGGGCTTCTATCCTAGTTGCCTAATAGTAGGTTTATCACTGCCATTTTCGCCACATGCTGAGGACTACTTGTTTGACATGCAAAGCCAAAGCTTTTCAAACTTATTTCTGCTCTGGCATTGAACATAATAATCAGGTAAGAATTACAATAGCTTTGGTAGAACTTGACTTTTAAACATATGAACCCCCCATAAAGAATTTGCCATTCCTTAGAGTGCCTCTTCAATAAAAATAACGTTTCCAGACACGTTTTCTACTTTGTCAGTCTTTTCCATTTGTTTGTCATTTTCCATTTTCAGACAAACTGAGAAAGAGTCCAGAACTAAGTGAACATGGATGTCTGAGATTCTAAGGTCTGAGCTATCACCTGAGTTTCCGTTCATAAACAATGGTGAAAAATAGGTACCTTTAGAGGGTAGATTATCCTGTTTGAAGGGAGTTGTTTAAGATGGGTTTTAAGGAGAGTTAAGATGCTCGGAATTTCCTCTACCAAAATCTGAGAGGAATGCAGCAAGGCAAGGCTCACTGCAGCCTGGGTTGTCTTAGCTTCCATACATGGTGCAGTCCCATGAAGGAAGCTTCTGCAGAATGGCTCCTCGAGAAAGAAAGATCTGAGCTGAAGACGAGTGGAACGGTGTAGGCATGGATGCCCCCTGCCTCTCTTATCCCAGGAGAGATGTTACAGTAGACCAGCCAAAAGACTGTTACTCCCATTGATATCAAAAGGAAAATGAGCTTCCCTAGTGGAAGATTGACTTGAGAACTGCAGGTTGAAATTATAGAGCCATTTTCTATCTTTTGAGTGAAAACCATGCAAATGGTAGTGGTGGTATGGCCATGAGAATGAGAAGAGTTATGAAAAAGAACAGATTCTCAATAGTCACAAGGTGCCTAAATACACAGCACTAAAATTGTGACTGTCTTGTAACCAGGGAACTTGCACTTTCTCTTACAAGTACTACGTTATCAGCTTCAAGTTGCTTCCACTGGAGAGTATATTGCTTAAGTTAGTGCCATGTCGCTTATATGTCTGCACTGGCAAAAATTAATCATAGTAGATTTCCAACTATGCAGCACCCTAAAGTCTGGTTTTCTTTTTCAGTGTTTTTGTCACCATAGAAACTGAGATAGCAGTAACAAGATGAGTAAAAACTGCTGCAGCACAAAAGGTCCAGGAATGGAGTGCTGGAGATAGTTGATGATGATACATGAAGAAGGAGGTGTATGCAAAAGAAGGGCAGCCCACTGATCACAGCTCCTGGTAGCTCCTACTGCTCATCAGCAGTGTTCAAAAGTTACAGGAGCCAGGAATTATTCCAGAAATTAAGTCCATAAGAATTTATCTGCAGTAGAGGTGGTGGTGTGTCACGTCAGCTTTCAGGATTACTAGTACTGTAACCCGTCCTATCAGAGTAAATTGGACTGTAAAGCTAGAAGTGGACGTCAGGAAAATGTATATCTCTGTGCCCATGACATGCATACATAGACAGAAAATGGATAGCTGGATAAACTGAGAAGCAGATATCCATTATGTTAGGAAAGAATAGTGTGCACTTCTTTCTTTTCTCTGTGTTCATCTACTCGTGAACAGTGAGTATTGTATCTATTTCAGCAGTGTTCTGTAGAGTGTCTAATACAAGTAATTTTTTAAATTCAGGTCCTATTTCTTACCATTCAACAAATAGGAAAAAAATCATAAAAATAGAACTTGCTTTCTTGGGAGTGCTTTTCTGTGAAACAACAAATGAGTTACAATGCCCTATTAGTGTAACTTCCTATTCTGTTTATAGTTATTGTAGGATTAATTCTGCTAATGGGATACATATATAATTTGAAAATGATATTTGTGTAAATAATCTGTTAATGTCAAACAGAAACCTGATCCATTGAGAAGTTTTCCTTTTAAAAAAAAAAAAAGAGGAGGAAAGCCATTCAGCAGTGCTTTGGAAAAGGCCATCCATTCCTTTGAGTTCTATATTGCATTTCATATTATATCTGTTATGATACAAACAATTTTCTGCAGGTATATCTGTGATATTTTTAACAACATAATATTGGTCTTGCAAGTATTAATTTCTTTCTCTAATTTTATTATTTTATGAAAAGATTGTCAGGGTCATTATTAAGAAACTCTTGCCTGTGGTCTCAAACTGTAGAGTTATTAAGATGAATATATTTCTTTTCCAGATGACCTGAAGCCACATCCTTGGATATCTAAAGTGTGCTCCTGCAAGGTGTGTTAGAAAATCCTGCTTAGCCGAAAGAGTTAGAAGATGCACAGGAACAGCCAAGAAATAAGAAATACATGAAATGGACATGAAACAGATTGCCGTATTTATTACTGTATACCTTTAACACTCAATTTTCAGAAGAAATGCCTTCTGCATAATCAGCTTCTTTCTGCTGATTTATTGACTTCAATGCACAATTCCAGCACTAGTAGATATTACATTTATTTTATTAATTTAGATATTTTTAACACAGCAGATATCAAGTCCTTATTTTAAATGTTTTTCACTAAGTTATGCATTGATCCCAAATCTTACAACACTGATTTACTATAATTTTTTGTGTCATTTTGAATATCCTTTTGCATAGAATTCATTTAAATAATTAAATGTAACTTTTTCTCTCTCCTTGCTTTTAATTTTTATTACCAATGACTTTTTAACACTAAATAAAAACAAATACAAAATTAATGTTTGCTTAAGTTTAAAGGAAAAATGTATATTTTTAATTAAACATGGAATATTTTGAAGCAACTAAAATAAACAGGAGTGTGTGCACTGGACAGCATGGGAAATTGATTATAAATGTGATCACATCCAAGACGGAGACTTTGTTTTTTTACGAACACTGCCAGCACTCTCACCTATAGAAATGTGACTGCCATAATGCAGTGGAAGAAGCCTGTCAGAGCCCTCTTCTGGGATGATGCAGCGCATTCAATTTTTATTTATGCTTATTAGGAAAAGCAGTTATACGTGCTTATTTTTTTTCATTGTATTTGGAAAATATTTGTGGTTTATTAGACTCAGAAATGTCACTTGGTGTTCTGAGGAGCTTGTGATGGTTTGACAAGGAGTGGCACCGTGAGAGTGGTAAGCACATGGTCTGCATTACCCCAGTCAGAGAGCTAATGAAGTCAAGGGACCTTGAGGGTGTGATCTTCTGGATCTGGATCTTAGGCTGTGAAGTGTGAAATACTCTTTTTCTGCTTTTCCTATGAACCACTAGGTGCAGGGTGTGGCAGTGGAGTCTTTAGAAATGTTGTTTTGAGGGCCGATCTGAGAGGCAGTATTTCAGTTTTCATTCAGCGAAGGAGTATGCCATTCAATTGAAATGCCATTCAAGGAAAATAAAGATATTTAATGCTATTCTTCTGAATTGTAAGTGCCATGCAGAAAATGTTTTCTTTTACAGAAAAGTCACTGTGTTACATGTCTGGTATGTCCCAAAACCAGTTTTCCTTATTCCTGTAAGGTGTTTTCCTGCTTAAGGCATTATTTTGATTGTAGTAGCTAAACAGTCTGGCTGTTGTATTGTCTGGCTTCATTGTTACATTTAATGTGCTGGATGTCTGGAATAATATCACTGACTTACTGTACTTGCGTAGCATAACTGAGAGCAGAACATATCTTCAACTGAGATAAATTCTCCACTTGATGTTTATGGTTAAATAGAAGATAAAAGCATCAAGAAAGTAAAAACTAAATTTCAAATCTAGCTAGCACTATAAGAACCTTGCAAACAGTAAATAAAGCAGAGAATCAAAACTGGACTGTACTTTCTCCTTTGCCACAGTCTTTGTCAGCAATCAATTTTGTTTTGCTATAGTGATCTTCCATTGGCTTTGGAAAGTCCATTTTCCTTCAGCACAAATGTTGCTGTTCTGCATCAGCTTCTGCTCATTTGGGCCAGCTCTGTTCTTAGTACAAGGGGCTACAGATTTCCTTGGCACTGTTGCTACTTAATGCTTTAAAAACTTTTGTGGTCATAGAGGTCTCACAGCTCAAGGAACCAGCATTGTCCGTTAACAGCGGGTATTGTCATGGTAGCAGTTCCATTTGGACAACACAGTGTTTGGTTCTTTGTCTTTTAATTCTGCAAAGAGATGCCCATCAGCACACTGCCGATACAGATAACCCTCTGGAGTGCCTTGAGCAGTGGTGATTGGTGTTTGGCACATGCTAATGTGTGCTTTGTGCTAATTGTAATTACTAGTATCAATTAGGTGAATCAAGAACTGTTTTTATTAGGTGCGTTTAACTATACAGTACATGATCAAGATAAATTCTTGCTTAGAACAATCTCTTTGCATCAACTTGAAAATTTTAGAGCTTTTGACAAAAATACATTTTAACCTGCTACTCTTGTTTCTTCTAAGCCATAATAGCTGAAGAAACATTCTGTACTAATGCGCTGTGATGTATGTTCCTATTCATGCTTATGGAGATTGATTTTACAAGAAAATTGAAAGGTAATTATGAATATATTTTTCTATTGTGTTACATAGAAGGAATCATGTCAAAAGGAAAGCCTGTTTTATTTCTGTGAGGGTGATTTGCAGCTCAACTGGTGCCCAAATTGGTGCCACTGAGTAGCCATCCAAGCGCTGGTCTTGGCCTAAGGAGCCGAGAAAGAGCAAGCAGCCTGGGGTGGGAAGATGGGTGAGATTTTCCCTTCTTGTAGTGACCCAGGCTCCAATCAGCATTACCTCAGTGTGGTACTGCAGCTTTACGTTGCTGTATGCATAGGCCTCTCAATATTGGCTGTTGGACTTTCAAATCCCCTGGGAATTTTTTTCTAAATTTATGCTCAAAATCAAATGTATTATCAAAAAATGTAAGTTACTAGTCATTTAATATGAGATCAAAGATCATTAGACTGTCTCTTTGATTTGGGGGACTTGGAATTTTTCAACTGATTGATATTTGTTAAATGGTCACTTGACCTAGATTCCAGACTGGAAACATCTCCAACCATTGAACTGAACATTTATTACTCCAAATCCAAGCATTTTATTTTTAACTCTGTTACAGTTTGTACATATTTTAAAGTTTGGTCAGTGAAATCCATTGCTGCTTTTTCTGGGCTGTTTTTAGTTGAACATATACCTCCCCACCTTGATGATAGATATTCTGAAAGCAAGTTGGAATAGTACTTGAAATATATAGACGAGATTCAATGTGTCTTAAAAAAAAAAAAGACATTTTACAAAGTATCTGTGTCACAGTGTATCTCTGCAAGCACTGAACAGCACCAAATATCTAGCAAGGGGAATGATTTTGCAAGTCTGATGGTGCTAAAATGTTGAAATTTCTAGAAAGAATGGAATAGACATGACAAGCAGCATTACCTCTCTGCATGTTTTTATTCCCTTTGAAAGAGCATGTTAACCTGAAGGGAAGCAACCTGCAGCATATATGGATCTTGAGGAAGTCATTGTGCCAGTGCTGACTAGCTAGCAAGCACGAATGCTCCTGATGGGCAGGTCTGTGAAGAGTCCTGCTTCTCACAGTGGGTATTTCTGTAGAGTTTTGCAGGGCTTTTTTCTTGTATATGAAATGGATGTACAGGAATTTGAAGAACTGATCTTTCCTCTCACTTTCCTCGTAGATCTTGTGGTCCTTGTGGACAAGGTGGATTTTTGCTATGCAAAGTTCTTAAAATTAGATTGAGTTGTGTTGTAATTCGAGGTTGTGGAATCTCCTTCCCTGGAGATCTTCAAAACTTGCTTGGACGCAGTCCTGTGCCACATGCTCTAGGTGACCCTGTGAGTACAGGGGAGTTGGATTAGATGGTCTCTACAGGTCCCTTCCAACCTTAATGATTCTGTGATTCTGCACAGATCCCAAAAGGCCATCAGTGTGATTTCTGCCGAAATAATAATGTGGATGCAGCTGAAATGCACACAGTAACTCTGGTTTGCCTACTCTTCCTGTGGTTAAGTTTGTATCTTGAATAATGCCTGCTGGAAAGTCCAAAATATGTCCAAGAAGAGCTGTGCTCCAGGAGAGGGGCATCTGTTGTGCAAATACTATTTTCCGCATCTCATGAATATGAAAGTCCTAAGTGAGTACAAAATTGCTAGCACTGCACAAAAGTGCAGTAGCATCTAAACACATGAAACAACCACTATTTTCAGAGTTTTTAGGGTGTGGCTGTGCACATAAAATTGTTATGCATTACCAATTTTATTACAATTCTTGTTTTCTCTCATACCCTTCTAGACTTGAAGAGAAGATTTTGCACCCTGAATTAATGTTAAGTGTCTTGCAAACCAGTTTTCTTTAGCTCAATATTCTTACTAAAATAGGCATGAAAATAGCATCACTGCAGTAATACATGCAGCTTAATTAAGTACTTTACTCTCCTTATTTTTTTTTACAGGGACTGGGAGGTTCATTCTTTTCAGTATTTGAAAGCTTTATACTAAACAGAACAACAATATCCAGCATTAATGAAATAAATTTTATTCAAACAGCTTATAAACTTCATGATAAGGAATTGAGGGAATTGTATTCTATGTTGTTGTGAATTACCCACACAGTATCTGGGGGTAATATAAAAGTCTGTTTAGTTTCATAACTTTATTTCCTATAATCACCCTGGCCAGTAATCATTCAGATGTTCCCAGTAAAATACAGCATACATATTTTTGTTGTTTGTTTTGGTTTATAGTCTTCCTGCCATGTAGATGGCAGCAGCACTCAAGCCTTGAAATTCACATCAGGTTTTCTTAAGCTTATTCTGTAGCAGTGTGTTTAAGAATATTATTGTCATGAATGAACTGAAAGCATGATTATTTTGAAGATCGGTATCACATTGTTAAATGCACCTTTAAATCAGTGAGCAACATCATAATACGAGTATTTAAAAGACAACGTGTCATGTCTGTCTATATGAATATAAGATGTCAATTTGCCTTCTACTTTGTTTCTGTCAGCTAAGTTACTGGTATTTTTTTGCTACATTAGATTTGAGGATACACAGAGTGTTTCTGGAGGTTTAAAAATGTTAAGATTTACTGAGATAGTCCCCGGTTTATTTCCCTCAGGAATACCAGTAGAAAGCAGCTGGCAGATGCTTGGACTGGAAGCTGTTGAGTGAGAGTATCTTTGTCCTTTGTAAAGACGAGGAGGAAGGACTGAAAAAGGTAATGGGATGCACAGTGTACGATTGTGTGCTGTGGGCTCTGCAAAACCTAGTGCTTTTAAAATACATATACATGTGTATATATATATATACACGCACACACACATATA